GTGTGTGTGTGTGTGTGTGTGTGTGTGTGTGTGTGTGTGTGTGTGTGCGCGCTTCATCTTTAGTTAAAGCTGTATTTACAGTCGACATAATGATAACAATGAATCAAATGTGAAAGGGGTCGCCTGTAGTCATGAAGCTGCAGAGAGTTATCACCTGAATCTGCAGCTCTCTATAGTTTCAGCTCATTGTTCAGCAATCCCAAGCACAAATGTACTGTTTTGTTGTGCTCTTGTTGCCTTTTGTTCTGGTTCTATATGTATTTGTTTTTTCAGCAGAAACACTCTTAAAAGGAGAACTAAACAGCAGACGGACAGTCAGACACTAGCCGGTGAACGTAACGGAGCACTTAGCAGCTGAAGAGACAGATATGTCCCTCAGAGACCAAAAACAGGACTAACAGAGAGTAATTGGACTTATATTCACCAGGTAAGAAACAGCAAGTACTTGTTAGCAAAAGTAAGAAGACAAATGTAGTGGAGTTGGAGTGTAAAGTAGCCTCAAATGAAGTGAAGTGCAAAGGAGACATACTCTCATTACCAGGTTGTGTTTTGGGTTTCTACTACGACATGTTTGCATGCTTTAACGCAGTGGCGGGCCATGTATTTCATACCTGGGCCTTCAGTGCTGTCCTCCTACAGTTGAACCACCTCCTCATAACCTCATTATGACGCCAGCATGACGGGATGCTGCGTCATTAACGGACAATGCATAGAGTCAAAATCAATGTAATTAACACAATGACAAGAACAAACTCACAAGAACCAGTCACATATATTTGTATGACAACAAAGCAGGTAGAATAACATAAAACCCAAATAACACGATTCAACAGGCTTCTGCACATTCCAGGAACACGTATTCCGCCACACACTGAAGAGCACGGGCCAACCAAATATTATTCACATCAGAGGGAACAATATTAACCACATCATGGAAACGACACGATAGAAAAATGAACACAGTAGTAACGCTACTGCAGATGTAAAAACAAACGCAGCTCACTCACCAAAGCTGCTGTTCACCATTTAAAGACAAAGTCCGTCCTCCTTTCTTTGTTACCAAAGAGTTTAATGACGCGGTTGTTCAGTACATCGGTGCGGTTCAGTTCCAGCCAGAGGTCCTCCTCGATTCAATTAATGATGACGTACTTGTAGGCCAACTAGAAGCTCTGACATGTTAAAGAATACGCCAACATGTCAAACTAAAGATCTGATTGGTTGAACACTATGACAATCAACAATATCGTCCCCATTTACTTAAACTGCAAAGGGATTCACTTGTGAGTCTGAAGGTCTCGGGCAGATTTATTTTACTTAGAGACAACATAGAGGCTGAATCTGATTGGATAAAAGCTCTGCTTAAAACAAGCTGCGCTGGAAGCAGAGCAACTGATGAAGACAGTAGCTGTGCAATGAGATAATAAGCTGATGGGAAAATATTTAGAATACATGTAGTGTATTTATAAAAAGTAATTAAATTATAAAATAGCTATAACTTTGTGATTCTGTCTAGGTGTGTGAGTGTGTATATGGAGAAATCTGTGTGTGTGTGTGGGTGTGTGTGTGTGGGGGGGGGGCAGCATGTCACACAACCCCTGGGTCCACCACAGAAGAAGAAAGACCACCTCTTCAGCTGCAGTGACAGCTGAGGCTCCTGCTCTCAGCAGCTTCACACCGTCGCCAACGTTGTACTTAGACATTCAAACATTTCTTTGGTTTGTGATAATACAGCTGGAGTTTAAGTTTTATTCGTTCATAGAAGGGAATCAATAGCGTGGTCTCTGTTAGGAATAAATGTATGAGCTCATTTTTCTGCAAATATGATGAACAGAGATGGTGGAGCTCAGTAAGGAGCAGTGACATGTGGCCTACAGGTGGCACAAGTGACCCATTTAGAGCTCCTGTAGGATCCTTAGAAATAATCCCAATCTACTCTGTTTATATCAGAGCACAGCTGATATAATACAACATGATTATATCAGCTGTTTATCTGTTTATTTATGATTTTATGTTTGATGGAGAGACGGATTGATATATAGATAGATAGATGGACAGATGGATGGACGGATAGATAGATAGATGGACAGATGGACGGACGGATAGATAGATTTGAGCCTGGCTACTTGTTGGACGTCGGCTGATTAACGCTGAAGTTGTTGGCGTTGTGTGTGTTTCTGTTTTTCTCTGAAACGTCTTCTGTAACATTGAGGACTGAGCTCTCTGCGTGTCTCGCATATCCATGACGCAGTCACAGGAAGAAGAAAAATACAGAACAGCAGAAGAGTTGGGATGAAAGGATCCTCTCCAGAGGATGATGATGCCGTGGTGCATGCCGATGCAGATACTGAATTTCATTTTAAACAGCGTCACCGTGGCTCCTCTCCTTTCTACAGCTCTCTCTTTCTATTTGTTCCCCTCTTCTTCCTCCGTCTTCGTCACGTCTTAAAGTCTCACTGTGTTTTGTGTTGAGGGACTCACAGCGAGTGTATTCAGTGTAATGGTGTGCTCTCCACACTGGATCTGCTTTTAATCCGTGCACACTTGCATGCATGTCAGTGGCAATGCCACCCGAGCTCTCCCCCCCCCCCCCCCCGGTTGCATCGGTGTCATTCTGCTGTTATTGTTTCGGGCCAAAAGAGCACAATGATGTGACAGGTGTCTCTCACACGTTGCTGCACTGACAAGCTGCCATGCAGCCTTCTTGTTTGGAAGAAAAACAAAAAGGAAACCTGGTATCTGGTGTCGCATCTCTTTGTGTGCACTGTTTCCCGGCTGGATGTGTGTTTTTGTGCCGCTGCATTCATTCGACACAGATCCAGTTGCCTGTGGAGCAAATGAACAGACCTTTTGAGCACCAGTGTGCTACAAATAAAGGTAGAAATATATATATATATATATATATATTTCTTTTTTAAAGTAGAAGACAAATACATCAGGAAACAAAGATTTTTAATAAATGAAACAATACTAATAAATAAAGATTAAACAAGTTGCACATTCAAAATAAAATCCAACAAAAGGAACATAACACTGAACAGTAAAGTACAGTACCAGAGCATGGATTATTACAAAAAGAAAAATCCCCCCCTCTCCCAAAGACATTTACAAATTTTCTTAAAAACTTCAAGAGGCAAACATAGACGTTGTATAAAAGCATCATACAGGAGAGCATTTGTCATCTGAGTATAATTTACAAATTTATTGAAGGATAAATACTTAAAGCTGATCCTTAACTTGAGACGCACACGTGACAGCTGTGATGTAAACATGTGCTTCTCAGGTGAGGTCCCAGCCCTTGTTTTTTTTTTATTACTTTTTAAACTTTTTTTAGTGATCGATAACAGTGATGAGGTGACGATGAAAGCAGTCCATCAATTCATGGGAAACAAATGATCTATAACCGTAAATAAGGAACAGCTTTTTGTCCACATCTCCATTGGTCTCTTCTCTGTTGGTGCGTCATAGAATAAAAGTCAGCGGATATGGCTACATCGGGCGTTTGTTTTAATGTGTGGAAGAACACTGCAGCTGTCCGTCCCCCGTCCCCCCCCCCCCCGGACCCGGAGCTCATCAGTAGGGAGCGAACTTCTGTCTCTCTGGCTTTTTGATGCAGTTGGCTGAGGAGATTTTGGCGGTGTAGGCGGCCAGAGTGGTGTGGGAGGGTGCCGCGGTGACGGCCACGGTGGGGCCATGGCCGGACAGAGTCAGAAAGGGGACGGACTTGACCCCCAGCAGGCCGGAGAGGGGCATGGCGCCGTACGGGTTGCCCAGCATGTGAGCCGGGGTCAGGGCGCCCATGGTGGCCATGGTGGGTGCGGGAGAGCCGGCGGGGGAGGCCGGCTGGGCGAAGGCCATGTTGAGGTCGACCGGAGACGCCATGGAGGCGGCCTGGGCCGTGGATTTGGCTGTCTCTAAACTATGAGGGCCGAGGGAGACATGGGGGGAAAGGACAGAGAACGAAGATTAGAGGATTATTCTGTTGCTGCAACACTGGGTGAAGGGTCTGGAATTTATTACTTTTAAACTCCACGGATTTTACACATCAAAGCCTTGCTCTTGTGGAGTACTACTACATATGTGAAAAAAGCCTTTTGTGAAAGCTAGTAAATTGCTTTAATTGATTTTACTTAACCTCACTGTTCTGTTTGGCGTCCTGGAGACATTAAACCAAACAAAAAAAATCTGTTTTATCAGCTTGATAGTTGAGAAGTGAACATGTTTCAGAATTCCACCACAGAAAATGATTTCATTCAGTTTGTGCTATTGAACATGTTGAAATGTTCACATGTGCTCAATATTCCAAATCCCAAATAATCAGGGTCGGAAGTAACAAACTACATGTACTCTCTGTCAGTGGTGGAATTAATACACGTTGACACTTTAATAACAACCTTGTTTTACCTTACTCTTATTTGTTTGTTTACCATATTTTACCACATTTTCTATTTTGAAATGATGTCTTATACTATTTCACTGTTTGTTGTGATGCACCAATCACAGAGCCAGGTTCCTTGTGTGTGTAACATACTTTGCAATAACACGTTTCTGATTCTTAGAGCAACTAAATGTATTACAATTTTGAGGTACTTGTACTTCACTTAAGTATTTCCAGGGAAATATTGCCATTTTTTTTAAACTCCACTAGATTTATTTGATTACTTTTCAGATTCAGATCGATGATACAAAACAAAATCAACATATTTTGGGCAAAGATGAGACTTAAGACATCTGCAACGTTAAAGTGATCAATGCATTAATATCCAATAATATAATAAGGATTCTAAAATAAACCATTCTGCATAATGAGTAGGCTGCTTTTACATTTTTACTTAGTTGATGCAAGTACTTTTGGTCTTCAGTAGAATTTGAATGGAGTAGGTTTTTAACTGAAACAAAGTTGTTTTTGTGAATATATTTAATTAATACATCTAGATTAATTAATAACTGGATAAACGCTCCGTCCGGCGGGCAGGTAGGTGATGCAAATCAAACGCACCTGTACAGGTGCACGCTGGACGTTGCTAACATGCTAAATGCTAATCAGGGGGACCCTCCAACTGAGGAGATTTTCACCTTCACTTTGCGGCGTGTTTGCACTTTCTGCGCAGCGGGTCAGAACCGGAAGTGTTCGATGTTAAACGAGCAGAGACATGATCGCACCTGGAGCAGATTGAGGAGGACACCGCGGTGCGCGTGCGTTCAGGCAGGTGAGTACGAGCACAAGTTTAATACTATGAGAACAACACAACTCCGTGTTCGTTGTAGCTCGGCTCTCTCCGTGATGCATCGGTGTTTGGGTTTCGCAAAAACTGCGCAGCTTCCTCGTGCGTTTGCAGCAGCTGTGTTGTTTCTTCCTCTGTAATTGTTGATTCTATAAGAAGCGTTGGCTATTTATTTAATCGATGTGGTTTAATATTGGTTGTTGCACACGCCTTTGTGTCCATAGCTGTTTTTACTTATTGTTTATTTTTTATTGTCTGTCTTTTGTCCTCTTTTCTATATTTAATTGTATAGAAAGTTGAAATAGTTGGTTTGGACACAAGGGCTCTCTGCCTCATACAGGATGCAGTACATCCCGGTATTATTTTTTGCATACTGCATATTGCATGACATACTACATATAGAGACATACAAAATATGTTTCTGGCATACTACATCGTATGGTAGTATGGGTACTGGAACACACAGTCACTATGGTGGTCAGGCTGCTCTCCTCCAGCATTCGTAGCCATACCTAAGAAAAATAGCGCTCCGCTATTCGTTGGTATCACACGAAGAAATGTATGAACGTAATCATGAATAAGTATAAAGACCTCAAAAGGCCGGCGGGGATGGAGGTGGATGGGTCCAACAAACGGTGATCTTCCATCCAGGAGACGGCGGTTCGTTCTCCAAGTGAAACGAGAAGTCAACCTTGAATTAACCCGTAACTTGTGGAGTTCAGTAACGGCATCTCAGTAGTTATTTCAACCCAAACGACGATCTTTTCCTAAACACAACCAAGTAGTTTTGTTGCATAAACCTAACTAAGTTGTCTTGTGAAGATGGAAGTTTATTTTTGAAAAGACCGTGCCCTTTGGCTGTGACAGAACATTTTGTGTGTTTGAAAGGATGGGCGACCGATATCCAGTAGAATGTCCTCAAATATAAAACGTTAGTACGAACTGCTTTTATGTGCCCAGACGTTTTCTTTCACCTGTTCTTAAATGATTAAAAGACTTTTCCTCTCGTTGCATTGTTGGAAAAAGATAATTAAGAAAAAGATTCCGGAGCTTTACTGCAAATACTGAATTCCAATAAGAAACGTCGATACCACCAGGCTTTCACCCGGTCCCCCGAGGCCCATTATCCCAGCAGCACAAACACATACCTCGTAATCACTCATCGCTCTACGGCGTCACCTTTGACCCTTTTTAGAATCGATGCATTTCTGTCAGGCCTGCACATGAGGTGGATCATTAGACGGCCGTACACCGGGCCTTACCAGGAGGTAATGAGGTACTGCGCCAAGTTGATGCTGACCGGCGTTCCTGTGATGGTGACGTGGCGGTCGCTCGTGCCGTCCAGCTGGCTGCCGATCTTGATCTGGGCTCCGGACACCTGCCTGATCTCGTTGATCTTGGTGCCCTGACGGCCGATGATCGAGCCGATCAGCTGTAAAAAGAACAAGAGGCAGAGACGGTTTCGCTCAGTTTTGACGGAAGGAGAGGGTTCAATAAATCATCTGCTTTTGTTTCTTATTGTTGGTTGAAACTGATCCTGAAGAAAAGGCCAAAACACTGGAACAATAATAATAAAAAAAAGTGTGCGGTGATGTGGAGCAGACAGTAATGCTGACCACTCTGAATATTGCACTTACATTATCTTCAGTGGATTGGTCATCCATCATGCATGTCAAAAGCACTTTCCCCCACCCCCCCCCACCCCGGAGTCTCCCTTAATTGCTACTGCGTGTGCACCGGTAAAAGAGACGAGAGAAGGCACATTTGCCTCATTAATCCGAGTGGCTAAAAGGTTATTGATTCCTCAGAGTGGTGATGACTTCCCAAACAAATCACTTCCCAAACACATGCCAGCTAGATGCATCTCCGCACTAATGGAAAACATAATGGGGAAAATAACTCCAGTTCATAACGGTACAGTCCCCTCGGCTCGGAGCGCTCTCCCTCCGCCCCAAGAGTGGATTAGACAATGACACGGGTTTTTATTGCATTTCCAAATACATTATCACTTTTGTTCATGCTTTCATTAGCCAACCTGGACCCTCGGCCTATTAGCGACAATAGATATTTAACAGAGCCGAAGCTCGGGGGGGTTTGGGGGGTTTTGGGGGGGGGGGGGGGGGGGGG